TTCATTACCTATGTTAAACAAATTAGTCAATGATGAATTTTGATATCAAATGTAATAGTAGGAATATAAATCATGTAGGTACCTGTTACACATCTATATAATACCTATTTATATTATGAACAATGAAGTAATATTTTATTAGAATAACYATGTAATTTATTTTGTATTTTAACTATACAAATATAGTACTGTCAAGAATTACCTATATTTTTATTTTATTATTAAGAAACTAGGTGTACCAACATGTATAAATATGAATAATGAGTTTTAGGTGTTTTTATGTGTTATATTTATACAATAATAATATTATGTTTCTTCATAAATTAATGTTGCTTTAACTTTTATTTGGTAAACCTTTTTGAAACCGTTTTAATGGTAAAATCTGCCTGATGCATAAAATCGAGGCTTAAGAGTTCAGATTGACCATAGAAATTTTTTTTTATTATTATCTATTATATTTTATGTTAATAATTAGGTATTTAATGTGTTATAACTGCAATTCCAATTTAAATACAAAGCCAATTTTCCATTTTTCTTTTCGAGCATAAGATTTCTATACTATTACATAATACATATAGGTACTTAGATAGCGATCGGGTATTTATTAAAAGTAAGCTTATATTTTGATATATTTTGTATTTTATGTAGGGTTTTAGGGCGATAATTGTTTTAAATATAATATTGATGTGCAAACAAAATTGTATACGTATCTTTCATTCGTATTATACAATTATCGCTCTAGAACTCTACACAATTCTGCAAACAATGTATTTGCGTCATTGCCGATTGTATTTAAAAAGTTATATTAGACATAAAATTATTGATATTGATACTACATATTATAAGTCATATTCTCATATTATAACATTATTTTGGATTTTTCGCTGCCATTACTTAATATTATCTTAATAGAGTACAATGTATTTCATATGTTTCATCTGGACTCATCCAGATTTTGCATCTGTTCGATACTTGTTCGTTTTAGTTTTAGAATGGAACTGAAAGTAACTGAAAACTAAAATCAATAATTAGGTACCTGCTTTGTTGAGGAATCAGACAATTTTGAACAGTAAAGACAAAGAACGTATGCAATTCACCATAAGATTGACATAAATGCATATATAAAATAAGTATAAATCAAATTAAATTGATATTATACAATTGTTAGCACAAGTTGATCGTCGATATCAAGGGAAAAAATAGGAATAAACTACCTAGGTACTTCTTATAATTATTTATTTTAACCAATTTTACAATTTTTTTTTAAATATATTAATTTTACTACTATAACACAGTTTGAAAATTTAAACTTTATGAAAATGATTTACACTATAATTAAATATATATATATTTATTTTATATTTATCCATACAAATTGAATTACTATATTATTCACGGCGTTTATCATAAATTAATTATATAAACTGAAATCAATTTTTCTTTACACTTTATTTCAATTTATTTTTTTAATTTAATATTATTTTTTTTCGTTATAACTCATAACTGGGCTATGTCGTAGTAATTTTTATGCGGAATCGTGTTAAATTCTGGTTAAATAAAAAAAATAAATATTGTATTATGAAAATTTTCAGAATTATTTGAGACCCATTTTTGTGTATCTCTCTATCTAAGTACCAAATACTAATATTATCAAGTAATAAGTAGGTATATTACACATTTTCGTATTTAGTAATAAAATATTGAGGTAACTATAGTARGTACCTACCTTTATAAAATAAATAATTTCATACTTTCATAGCGACATAGCGTAAAATAATATCCTCATTATTAACTATGCTGAAGTGAAAACACTGACAACCATTCAATCATGAATGTTCTATATGTATTTATACAAGTTATCAGGCCTGGATTTAAATTGTCTAAAAACTATCCAAAATGTCTTTGAAAAAAGTGCAATTTATCTATTAATGACATTAACTATTAAAATTAGAATATAAAGTTTTCTTTAGAAATTTCAAGTACCCGTGAATAATGTTTTTAAATTACAATATAGGTAATATAACTATAATTGTTATTCTTGATTATTCAGTATGTAATTCATCAAAATTTGAACTTAAAATAACTATAAAAAAAATTGTATTTGAATTGTTTTTAGATTTTTTTTGTTATACAATTAACTACTTACGTGAAATTTTGTTTTTAATTTTTAATCCTTAGATTTAAAGTTAAACGTTTTATAAATTTTTAACAGTTAAATAATTTGAAATTTTCAATTAAATAAATCTTGTTAAAATATGAACTTTAAACGGTTATACAAAAAAAAAAAACGTGTGCAATTTTAATATTTTCCAACTGCTATTATATCAACTTATGGGGAATCTTGTATAATATTTTCAAGCTTATTGACATTTATAATATAAAAAACTAAAAAAAAACAGAAAATTTTAAATGTCTATTGTCTATACATAATTTAAAAATTGTTGAAATATTTTGAAAATGTTATCAAGTATATAAAATGCCAGTTATAACCATTTAGTGAGAATTTYATGCGTTTATGGTAATTTTTTATAGACTTACACCAATATCTAAAATCAATTTTCTCAAAAATTGATTTTGAGTAAAAATATTCCCGTTTTTCCTTATTTTTTGTTTTTCACGGTGCTTTTGAAAACTAYTGAGAATTTTGAAATTTTGACCTTCTAATGCACCAACTACCAACTAGATTCACTTTCCAACCGGAATAGCTACTGGAGTTGTAAATTTAATTATTAATTATTTCAACGACTTACCGCGTACACAGACACAAAAAAACACACATAATTGTAAAATCAATATATTCATCGCTCCGCTCAGAATCTAAAATCATAAGAAAGATATAAATAAAATGGAAATTTAAAATTTTAGTTTTCAATTCTCTGATGTCTGAAATTAATTTTGTATTTATATAGGTACTTGTAAAGCGACTTCACAAAAAATAATGCGTATTGCATATTTGCATTCAAATTAATTATCTACTAAATAGATATAAATATATAATACCAACATTATAGTATTATTATACGGTAATACCTATGTGTTATGTCTTATATCTAATAAAAGAATAAAACATTATTATTTGCTTGATCGTTTACTCATTTAATCGGCTGTTCGCCTACCTATACGGCTATACTTTCAATTTATCTATCGGACTATCTATAATTCAATAATCATTATTTTAACAGAAAATTAAGCAGATACCTACCTAAGCAATACGTTATATATAGAGTATACATATAGACTATCCGTTACTACGTTTCTATGATGGCGTTTAAACGGCTTGAAATTAAATCGGTTTTAAATTCTTAAACTACATGAATACTATTTATAGTGCAAAATATATCTTTGGTTTTAATGCTTATCGGTCATAGGATATAGGTTAGGTTAGGCTATATGCTTTATAACTACTTAATATTATAGCTACATAAAGAATTATTATAGATGCCAACCWAGGCAGGTACCTAAATACCTATTAGATCAAAGTAATATTATGGTTTAAGAGGACATGATACCCGTATGTGTTGTCTCCGTCTTACAAGTGCATTATAATATAGTAAATTATACGTTCAGCAGAACACGTGTAGCTCCGTTAGTTTAAAATGTAGAGTGAACTGACCTCTTATAAAATTTTAAKGTAAGATTATTATCTAGATAACCTCATATGCTTTTTATTATATGTATATTACATTTAAAGCGAGTTATGAGTATTTTAAAATTGTAAATTTTTTGTGCATCTTAAAATATTCATAACTTGCTTTAAAATTTAAATATAATAAAAAGCATATGAGGTTGTCTAGATAATAATCTTAAATTWAAATTTCATAAGAGGTCAGTTCACTCTAATTTTTAAGCTAACGGAGCTACACGTGTTCTGCTGAACGTAACATTTACGCATTTACCACATAGACATATAAATCTATGATTTACCATAATAATATAAATATAATATAATGCACTTGTAAGACGGAGACAACATATTATTATGCGGGTATCACGTCCTCTTAAACATTAAATTCATAATAAATAAATAGCGATTTTGGCAGTGACCTCTAGCGGAATCATTTAAAACGACATGTCGTCGTTTTATTTTTCACGTCCATGACGGACGCAGGTGGTWTATGGAGTGACAAGTGCAGTTTCACAACAACAATCATAAATGTTGACTAAAATTTCGAACATCGTCGTTCTTATCAGTCGTTTGTAACCGTTAAAAATTGTAAATTTATCGTAGTATAGTCACTATAATATAATATTGTACATTACTAATTCMTGGCGATTACCGTCTTGCCGATTAGGATCTCGTTTGCTTGTGATATTATATTGATCAGGTTTTAGACGTATTCTTTAATGTTTAATCTATGATATTTATATTGCCTGTTCGCGGTTGTCTGTAAAAACAAAATTATAATGCCGTACGCCCGCACTCGTTACTCGTTAGTACATACCTACTTAGTATTCTTCAATCGTACGGATATTTGAATATCGTGTTTTTTCATGTCCAATGGTCACTGCGTCTTCACTCTTCAATCTAGTCGTACCTAAATAATTGTAATATCCGATCTTGGATATCGAACCCTACCGGACGTGGACTAATCGAACAAGAGGTACTTTGATTACAGATATTGATCCATTTGGCGGCCGCGAACCTGACAGCCGGTAGTTTTTTCATAACGTTTTTCGTCCCACTCGTCCGCAAGCAGTGATCACTCGTAGACTATTAGTTACCAGWTAGGTGTCCATTTTGGTGGCTCGGTGAGTTTCAAATCGTTTTGGTTTACTACATAGGTACACACAATGACTAGAATATTGACAACCGTGTCAGATGTGTATGATCGCATGTCAGAATCTTTGAACAGCTACAACAACGTCAAGTATATGCCGTATCGTATTGCTCTGAAATTGACTGTCTTGCAAAAATACACTAGCTGTAAGTCCACATTTCTTTATATACCAAATTACCTACTTATGTCTTAGTCCAGGGTTTTATATACATATGAAATTATGAGCGAGTTGCCTATTTGATTATGTTTTTCAGATGCTTTTAAATAATAGGTAGGTATTTATGCTTGAAACTTGAGGTACCTACATGGTTACTTGTTATATYTTCCGGTTTAGATTTTGGCTGTACCTAGTATTAATTGTCTTAAAATATAATAAATATATTGTGTATCTTCAAAACTGAACCATTTTGTAAATGAGTTAACACTGCATTTTGTTCATATTAAAYTAATAAAATAAATACAAGTGTATTTAATTTGTACTACCTATGTTCAGAAAACATTTTATATAGGTACAATATTATAACCAGAATTATAATCTAGTAGGTACCTATTTGTTTTAAATTTAAATTTACTAATTATGAATAGGTATTTAAGTAAATTCTCTTGTAATATTTTATTTCAAGTTTATCTAGATAAATGTAAGTACCTACCTAAATTGATTCCTATAAATTTAAATTTTTATAATTTAACTAGGTACATGTATGGTTCACTTAGTTTCATTGAACTTTTTCCAGCATCTAGGTTTGATACATAGATTTTTTTCAATTATTAGGTATCTACTAATTTGTGAAATATCAGAATAATTAATAGTCAATTATATTCAAGATTTGTTTTGATTATGTACCATTGATTATGTAATATCAATGATAATCTTTAAAATGCTGTGTATTATTTTAGTGGGTTATTAGGTAGGTATCTTTCATGTTTTATAGGCACTTGACAATAATTACATTCAGCTAATTCAGCTATTCCTGTTATTAGGTACAAAAGTTATTCTCTGTGTAGGTACGGTTTTTACTAGTTATATTAATATAATATAATAGGCTCGATTTGGTCAGAAACTGACAATGGTTCATATAATGAAATATTTATAAAATAATAAAAAATACACAAGTTGTTGGTATAAAAATTAGTCATAACTCTATTTTTAAATTATTTGGATTTAATTAAAAATATGGAATAGTTGACAATAATGAGCATAATTTTTAAAGATTTWTAACAATAACAAATAAATATATACCAAAGTTTTGAGTTCTAACATTTAATCACAAGATAAATATTATAAAATAAAATAGTAGTAGAATGAAATKTATTATAATGAGCATTTTCCAATATGAGACTAATTGTATAGATGGTACATTATGAAGACACACGCGGTTGTCTACTGATATTGATAATACTGCTGCTTTCATATCTGGCATTAAATCTTTATTCAAAAATTCTAGGCCCGTTACAAACATAGCATGAGCTTGTTTAATATTATAAATCATATTTAAGTCTCTTGCTTCATGTATACTAACACTTCCTGAGTACATTGTACCTACGGCTATATATAATCCATCTTGACGCACTGCTAATGCTGACGTGGGCTCAGAAAACAATAATTCATAAATTATTTTATTCTTTACCGACCATCGCTGTAAGTTAGATTTTTGTTTAGGACCATTTGAAATTGTATATATGTTATAAATTGGTTTATTTCCAATTACACCAAATTTACATCTTTTGAATATTTGTTTATCATTATCTGGATCTGAATGAATAAGTGTTGACCGTTCATTAGTAACAGTATTCCAATGATAAGCTTTTCCATCTTTTGCAACACTTACTATGAATTTCCCATCGGAACTTATATCTATGTCATCAATTTCTTTAGTATGACATTTATATTCTTTCAATGGTCTAGTATCTTTAGTATCTTTTGATTTAACTATTGGAAAGTTCCAAAGTCGAATGCATCCATCGGTACCTCCGGTCACCATAAAATTGCCATCATTATTAATTTTCACAATCCTTTGTAAGGGTTCATCTTCACTGAAGTCTGTTAATAACGAATCTCCTGTTGTTATTTTAAAATTAATATCTTTACCTGCTTTACCATTATGAAATGTTGGTTCTATTATGATATCAGCCATATATTGTCGACATCCATCATTCTCATTTGCTGCAATATAGACTGTATTGCCTCTTATATTTGTACAACAGTTCATAATTACATTTGGACCGCTATCGTGACGAATTACTTTTGTCATTGATATAGTTTTACCATCTCTGTTAAGCTTGAATACTTCAAATCCATTAGCAATGCCAGTTTTGCTAGAACCGCCACCACCAGCAACCAGTATATAGTTCTTGAGAAACGTTTGAATTGAATACATTGGCAGATTTGTTGATGTGACCACTTGAGACATGCTTCCCATAGTTATAAATTGCTAATTTAATTAGTTGAATTCAGAATTTTGGAATATTTTTTATGTTGTTTAGTATTTTGCTTTGATGTCAAAATGTTATCGTTTTTATCATTATATATTGATAAGAAGACCAGTGCTAACATTTTAGAAGTACTTCATGTTTTAATAATAATTGTTTTGGAAAACAAAACTAATATAGCTTGCAAAATATTTAGAAAGTAGAATAATTACCGTTTTAGGAACCTGACTATTTTTATATTTTGCATTTTTGCTAGTAGGTTCCTAGTACCTACTACTTATATGGTCATATTGCGACTTGCGACGACATCTTGAATGCTCGATTTTCCTCCAGAACTCTTTTAAATATAAATGATATTCAAAATTTCAAATATAATAATTTTAAAACATTAGGTACTTAAAATATACTAATATGTTAACCATTTAATTTATAAATATTAATTTTACCACTATATTATAAAAGTTAATAATATCATTAATATTCTATATAGGATAATGTACTTTACCTACTGAGTATATCAGGCATCAGCTATAGTATGTTGTAAGGTAGTGTCTGTACTAYACTGTGAATTTAGCTACTAATAGATTAGTAAATTAATTATAGTACTAGTAATAATGCATGATAATTTTTGGAGATATAATTCTACAATAATTTATAAGTGATTAAATATATATGTAACATAGTTATTGATTTCAGACTTTGTTTAAATTGACCCTACTTTTTTAACATGTTGATGAGCATAGGCGCAAATGGGGGAGGGGGCTTAGAGTGTATTAGCACTCTGAATTACTAATTAGCACCCTCAAATAATGTTCGTGTATATGTATCTAAAATTTCTCTTTTCAAAAAAAAACTAAAATGAAAAAATGCATAGCTTTAAGAACCCTTAGTATTTTTACTAAAATTGTCCCTATGTTAAAGAGATCCCTAATTGTTCCCAAATTAACTTGATTGCATTTTTAGAATTTTAAATTAATTAATTTGGTAATCTAAATTTAATGAATTAAATAATAATATGATTTAAAACTGAAATAGGAAWTTTTTTTGTCTTTAAAGAAAGGTTTTATATAGAGTATATAGGTACTCATACCTATGTAGTATACATTTATCTAGAAATAATTTTATAATATATAAAATTTGATAGAAACTGATTTTTTCATTCGTAAATAATTTTAATTATTATTATTATTATTATTTTTTTTTATTGATCTTAAGCCCGGCGACTAAGGCCATTAGCTGTTGTAGGGATAAGGTTTTGGTATGGTAGATTGTTTTTATGGTTGTTACGGTAGGTAGCAAACACGGGTATGTATGGCAAAGTTTTTAACTACTATGAACCTGGGTGATCACTCATCCGGGAGSTAGTAGCTGTGCCGTTACTTACTCCCAGTCACATTCCCCGATTGGCAGCAGCCAACATGTCATGCCAAGCCRCTATTTATTATTTATTAACTACTTTAAACACATTTAACTATGATATATTTGTGCTTATATTTTTATTTTGTACAAATTTAGCTACCTATGCAAATATTAATTTTTAATAATCTTTCTTTATATTTTAGTGGATAAAGTATCATTATATGTAATAAATGGTGTTTATGAACAGCATAAAGGAAAAAACCTAAATCTCATTGATAAGGTTATGTTAGATGATATTGTATCTGATATCTATTTTGCGGTTCAAAAGGAGCACTCAGATTTAACCTTTGATGGAGAAATAGTATCTAAAGTTTTAGTTCAGTTGTTGGGTCAAATATTTTCAAAGTGAGTTTTTATATTTTTATATTTAWAAATTGTACATCTTTGCGATTTGAATTAATTTCATTATTATTTATTTATGAATTTATGTTTAATTATTTTGTATAGACAGTGATCGTTAATATAGAATAAATATATTACATGATAATATGATATGCATAACTCTATTATACTTCATCTTCATTGGTCAATTTTAAATAATATGTTTGTTGTACAATAACTAATAATGCTGTTTAAAATATTTTTTTAGGTATACAAATAAACAAATCAACTTAAGATCTGCACTGAATGTCATAGCTTGTTTATCATGTGATAGACTTCGTGTACGATTGGGTTATATGTTCCAGTTAAATTGCCTTAACAATGAACTTGGATTAACAAAAGAATGTTTTAGAAATTTTTTAAGGGATCTCAGTTTATTACTAAACTTTTTATCAGAAAACAGTGTATTTGAGTCCTCTTCCATTAACAACATTATTGTTAATTGCTTCCAAAATGTAAATAATTAATAATAAACAAGTTGTTTTAACAATTATGTGTAATATCATTTTTTCTATTTAATTTTTCAGTTAAACAACCCAAATTATATGACTGAAGCAGAATTTATGCAGTGGTTTATGACTGAGCCACCAGTATTAGAATGGTTACAAATATTGTATAGAATAAAAATGGCAGAAAATGGTAAGGTTAATTAATGGAATTARGATTATGAATGGTTTTTTCCAATCATGTTTTAGTCAAAATATGTGCATGTTTTTAAGTCTGATATAAATCAGACCACAATTCATAACATTAGTATGTTGTTTATTATAAAATTCAGAGTTCAAGTTGACTTTTGATCCACATAATATAACACACAAATTATTTTTGTGTGCAAATACCCAATTGGTAGTGTTTAAGGTTTATTATGTGGGTATACATTTTATTTTTAAATTATTAATAAATTAATAAACTTTAGAACTAAGTCTATATTGTATTTTCATATTCTTAGACATAATTTACATGTCTAGCCAGATATATGCATTTATAAATAAACTCAAGACTTGTATTTAGAATATTTTTTTTTGTTCTGGGAGGACTTAAAAAAAATACTTAAGCACAGATTTACAAAATAGTTCTAAACACTTGTTTTTATTGTAAACATTGTCAATTTGAATTGTATTTTATRATAATAATAGATAACAAAATATACTTTCACATATTGTCATGTTTGTGTTATTGTGTTGGTTCTATCATACAAATGTAAAATATATCTAATTTTAGTTCAGCAGTTTTAATTTTGTGTTATTGGCTTAGATATTAGAATGATATCTATTTCCCAACTAAGAAATAAGAACATTATTTGTGTTGTCTCTTTGGTTTTGTATGGCATTTAAATTTACRAGTTACAAGTATGTAAAATATTAGTATTTAGATATTTCATAAAAAATGTTTATATGTTCAAAACAAAATTACTCTATAATTCAGTTAAGTGCCTTTAAGTTTATTGTTTATTGTTTATTGTAAGCTACCAATACCACATCAAAATTGCTGAATGTAAATGCTTGTATATTATATGTTAGTCAGCGAAAGACATCACATTCGCATATGACATTCACTTAAAGCTTTTGGGGCCTTCTATTGGAGTACAAATATTCAAATGATTCCTAGTTTTTTGATGACCATATATTAAACCTTACAAAAAATATAATCAAAAATTACTGTTTTGGAAAAACAATCATGCCTCATAGAATAGTTAAACATTGATTACTCTTTTATTTAATTTAAAAGAGCATATCTTAATTCAGGTTGGTTTTTTAAAATTTACTTTAATAAATAGCATAGCAAAAAAAAAGCATTTTATAAACTTAAAAATGTGTGTTAAAACTTTTTGAAATCAGTTTTCAATCTAACCAGCATGAAGTGTTGGTTTATAAAGAAAAAAAACTATCAGACTTTCTATTTCATGATGCATGACAGATTTCCTGTATAGCAAATTTTTGTACTTAAAACGTGTTGGCTTTAATACCCTTAATAAAAACATTTTTTTTTCAGTCAACCATGAAGTGAACTGTAAAGTTTGCAAATTACCTGTGAAAGGTTTGCGCTATTTTTGTCTAAAATGTGTAAATTACAATCAATGCCAAAACTGTTTTCTGATTGGTGCTACTAACAAAAAACATAAATTAAAACATGCTATGCAAGAATATTGCTGGCTGGTTTGTATTATACATTACATTTTCCTAAAAGAAACCTTACTAATTTAGAGTTTAA